CGAAATGGCTTTCCAGCAGATCCTCCCTTTTCTCCCCAGCATAAGCGAACTGGCTCTCCGGCAGATCCTCCTTCTTTGTCCCCAGGATAAGCGAACTGGCTCTCCGGCAGGTCCTCCTTCTTTGTCCCCAGGATAAGCGAACTGGCTCTCCGGCAAGTCCTCCTTCTTTGTCCCCAGGATCAGCGAACTGACTCTCCGGCAGGTCCTCCTTCTTTGTCCCCAGGATAAGCAAACTGGCTCTCCGGCAGGTCCTCCTTCTTTGTCCCCAGGATAACAGGACCGGCTCTCCGGCAAGTCCTCCTTCTTTGTTCCCAGGATAAGCGAACTGGCTCTCCGGCAGGTCCTCCTTCTTTGTCCCCAGGATAAGCGAACTTGCTCTCCGGCAGGTCCTCATTCTTTGTCCCAGGATAAGCGAACTGGCTCTCCGGCAGGTCCTCCTTCTTTGTCCCCAGGATAAGCGAACTGGCTCTCCGGCAGGTCTTCCTTCTTTGTCCCCAGGATAAGCGAACTGGCTCTCCGGCAGGTCCTCCTTCTTTGTCCCCAAGATAAGCGAACTGGCTCTCCGGATAAGCGAACTGGCTCCGGCAGGTCCTCCTTCTTTGTCCCCAGGATAAGCGAACTGGCTCTCCGGCAGGTCCTCCTTATTCTTTGTCCACAGGATAAGCGAACTGGCTCTCCGGCAGGTCCTCTTTCTTTGTCCCCAGGATAAGCGAACTGGCTCTCCGGCAGGTCCTCCTTCTTTGTCCCCAAAATAAGTGAACTACCAGCAAATCCTCCTTCCTTGTCACCTTTCTCCCCAACATAAGCCAACTGGCTCTCCGGCAGGTCCTCCTTGTTTGTCCCCATGGCTCTCCGGCCGGTCCTCTTTCTTTGTCCCCAGGATTGTCGCCAGGATGAGCGAACTAGCTATCCGGCAGTCTTGGCCCTCCGACTGGACTGGCCGTCCGGCACGTCCTCCTCCCTCATTTACTCTTTGTCGCCAGGTTAGAGTCGGTTAAAGGGAATGGGCTCTCCGACCAGCCTCCTTCTTTGTCGCCAGAATCCTTGTTTGTCACCAATTATACTAGCGCCGCAAGTCCTTTTTCTTCACCCCCCCGACAGCAAGCACGTAGGCAGTCTGTGCTTGGGTAGTCCGAAGCGCGCCTGGCGAGGCAGTACAATACGCGGCAGCCATTCATCGCCAGGGCTGCCGAGGGCGACCGACCCCAGAACCGGCGGAGGGGAGAGGAAGGGCGACACGACCCGAGAACCGGCGGAGGGGCGAGGTGCAGAAAGCGAAGGGCGACCGACCGAGGTGTAGAAGTCGCAGGGCGACCGACCCGAGAACCGGCGGAGGAGAGCGGTGCACTAGGTGAAGAAAGGGGCGACCGACCCAAGAACCGGCGGAGGAGCGAGGTGCTGTAGGCTAGAAGGGGCGACCGACCCGAGAACCGGCTGAGTAGACCAAGTAGGGGGCGACCGACCCAAGAACCGGCGGAGGAGCGAGGTGCTGTAGGCTAGAAGGGGCGACCGACCCGAGAACCGGCTGAGTAGACCAAGTAGGGGGCGACCGACCCAAGAACCGGCGGAGGAGCGAGGTGCTGTAGGCTAGAACGGGCGACCGACCCGAGAACCGGTTGAGTAGGCCAAGTAGGGGGCGACCGACCCAAGAACCGGCGGAGGAGCGAGGTGCTGTAGGCTAGGAGGGGCAACCGACCCGAGAACCGGTTGAGTGTAGAGGGCGACCGACCCAAGAACCGGCCAGCGGCGTAGGCTAAGTACGGGGCGACCGACCCGAGAACCGGCGGAGCTGTTCAAGCGCCATGGAGCGCGAAAAACCCTTGGAAAAGGTGAAAAGTTGTCTAGAAGAGCTAGAAGCCCAAACCCTATCTAGACCCCTGCTTGCCAAGGTGCTCGCCTCCCCCAGGCGTTAAACAGGGGCGTTTCCTGAGTGCTGGCGATTATGAGACGGTAGCGCGGTGCAACGCGGTAGTGCTCGGGAAACGTAAAAGCTGCTGCGGCGGCGACCCAACATGTGGAGGTAGGACGGTGACGCCACCTCGTAACCTAGGGCCTCTCCCTATCTGAGTATCCACTGCGCTAGGTAGCCAATCCGAGGGATGTGTCTGCAGGTTTGGGATCAGGCCCCACTCCTGCGACGCAGACTTTGGAGGACCGCGTTGCCACGGCTGCAGCGAGTTTGGTCGGACCTTCAACGGCGACTCGCTGCGGGCCGCGCTACCGTCAATCTCGCCGGGGGCCTCAGCCCCCCAAAACTTAGTGGTATGGTAAGAAACTATGGATGCCTGGCCCTCAGACTCAATGGGGTGGGAATTTCGGGAGGTTGCTTCAGGGTGTTTTCAGACTTGTCTGTGAGTGTGTTAAGGGTTGCTTGGTAGTGGGTTTCAGGACTACCGGAAGTAGGTAACTCAGGCGTAGCCGCCCCAACCCCAAGCCCGAGGAAGCTCCCAACAAACCCAACAAACCAAACCCAAACACCTCACTAACCCGAACCTGACATCAACCAACCCAAACTCTAGCCTTTGTTTTGTTTTTTAAACGGGGTCCAGAAGTAGATTCCCAACGAAACATGAAAAAAACACATATCGCCTTAAACAACCATGCCGCACCTGAATTTTTTTGATTTTTGTGCCGGCGAGCGGAGGGTGTGCAAAATCGTGCGAAAACCTACAGAATAGTGCGATCGCAAGAAACCGACTGTTTTTTCATTAGGACTGTTGAGAAGTTTTCCAAGCCCTCAACCCTGGCGCAGCATTGGACACCCCTTCTGCAGGACTGTTTCTGAAGATCGTTGTCGAAAAGACCAGATTCGAGGTGCTTCCGGCGCGGCGTGGCGCGAAACATATAGCAGGTGCGAGTGAATGGAAGCAGGTTTCGTTTCCCGCGTAAAGCTATGCATCGAAGAAACAGACATGGAAACAGCGTCTTCCAGGAAACGTGGACGTGATTTTCGAGGGACTGTTGGCATTTTTCCCATAGTTCATTCTTTTCCTTTGAGGGCTTATGAGGCTTTCACATTCTGTGGGTTTCGACGTCCTGCAAAGGGTTTAGGATGGAATCTACGGAGTTCCCCCGCGCTCTGTTACACCGAAAGCTAGAATTCACGTGGTATGCAAATGAGTAGGACAGTTGCGCAATTGGCGAACCGAGAATTTTCGGAATCGGCCGCTTGCGCCGTTCGTCCTGGTTCCAAAGCCCGGCTGGAGCTTCATTTCGCAGCATTCGCACCCATGGAGTTTGTTGATATGCTCTCCTTAGGCAAACGGATAGCAGAAGTGGAGCGCGTGCAAACTGATGCTGCCACGAAGCGATCGTCGACTGACTTGAAAGGGTGGGCCGGCAGGGAAGTCCGAAGTTGCCACATCGGATTTCGAGACGGCGCGCGTTGAGCGAAATGTGTAAGACAGTTGGGAAGTTGGCGCGCCGCATTTTTCCGGAAAGGGCCTGGAAGGGTCTTCTGCGCCGTTTCTCTTGGTTCGAAACCCTGGCTGGAGCGCTATTTCACAGCATTCGCATCCATAGATTTGGTTGGTAACGTTTTCCCTAAGGAAAATGCATAACAAACAGCTTTTTTGAGAAAAAAGGGCCAAAGACAAGACGACACGGTCGTCGACCGACCCGACGATGATGGGTCGGCGCGGCAAAATCGCGTCTTTCGTGTAAATCCAAGCAGCGAAGTTGAAATGCTTGTGAGGTCAGGACGCTAGTCTTGCAAGGACCGTTTTGGCACGTTGACCCCTGCTCAAATTGCAGGGAATCGGACGAAAACCAATCCTTCCGACTTGCCACTTCTCGTAACCGCGTAAGACTGCAGTTGAAGATGAACCACACAATGTTTTCTCCAAATTGGAAGTCCGTTCCCTTCCAAGGGTTCGAAGTTCGGCAACGTTGTTGACCTCGATTTTACGACTTCGAAAACGATGTTCGTTTGTACTCCGTCCAGAACAGCTCACAGGCAGACCATCGACAAGAAAGCACCCTTGCGCACGCAACAACGTCGGGCCGCAAACCGCCATCGTTCGATCAGCGGATATTCAAAAGTTTGTTCGGTCCGTAACTTGCAGTTCAGTGTACAGTTTTTTGGTGTGCAACCCGGCCTCGAAACGCAGGCGCACAGACTACAACCCGGTATGCCGCGATAGAAACTTGTGATGTTGCTCAGTCGCATGCCTACTTCAGTGCTGCACGTCGCATTGTGCATGTGATCCGGCATGGAGTTGAGTCTGAAACCTTCGCGACTAACGATTGTTCAAGCTTTACCTAGTCGTGACAATGGCAGGACAGACCCCCGCGACACGGCGAGATGATGCTCAGCTGCTTGTTCCTGATCATTGTAGAGCCTGCAAAGCCTTTAGCTGAGCTTCTCCCGTTCCAGGTCCGACTTCCTCTCGATCCAGCACTCTGCAGAAACTTCAGGTGCAGTTGGGTCGGATGTGATCTGCACTTGCTCATGTATCTCAAGTGCGCTGGAGTATGTATGTGTTCAGCTCAACTGCTGGAGGTTTCAGTTTGCATATAAAAACTTCCTGTCGGAATGCGGCGCGCTGAGTACTTGAACAGTAGTGTCATTTGAATATAGTTGACCCGTTGTCGCGTGTTCATTCAGTCAGTCGCATATAAACAAATTGCAATGTTGCAAGCTTCATGTACAAGCAGGGTGGTGACGTGGAAGTGATCAGACGGGCACACACGAATGCATTTGGAACCTCCGGAAAGGTCAGCTCGAGATCGTCCTGCCTGAAGCCTTGACCTTTGCGCTCATTTCGGCCTGGCCGCTGCCTGATCTGCTCCTGGCTTGAGCCTGCTGGTTGTGGGTGTGAAAGCAGTACTCACCAGAAATTGAAGCACGCACGGCATAAACCTGACCATCTCCTGCAAGCAGCTTTTTCGCCTCAAGCTAATCTGCGTTACCTGCATCCCTATATTTCCTGCCCAGCATGGCAAACACCCTCGTTTTCGATGCGGCCTTCCTCCAGGCGCTTTGCGACACCGGCCGGGACATGCCCCCGGCACGGGCCGCCCCGGTGCTCGACCCGCGCAAACTGGGGCAAGCGGCGTTGCTGGCGTGGGTGCGCCACAACGAGGAGGGGATCCAATCGCAGCAGACGAAATGGATCCTGCACCAGTTATGGACGCTCCCACGAGCCCAGCAAGCCCGGTTGCTGGAGACGAGCGGCATATGCGCTCATTGGAAGGCTGGGGAGGCTCAGGACTGAAACTTGCTAGAGAAGCTTTTAAAAATGCCGTTTAGAGGTGCTTGACCTTAGACTTTCCTCTTGCAGGACGCGCCGCCTCTAGCCTTCGACCCTCTCGCTGCGGAAGATGAGCCCCTTCTTCCCGAAGGCTGGGTGCCGCTCGTCATGGAGCGCCATCCTAGCTGCTGCCTTTCCCGGGAGTTGAAGCGTGGCGTTTACTCCCACGACTTCAAGACCACCCGCCCCAAGCCCAAGAAGCTCCAAAGGTTTCGGGCTCGGGGCGTTGGCCAGGTAATGCATGCCGTCATCGGCAAAGATGACGGGCACATGTACTATTCGGCCACGCCCTTGGAGAGTAGCCCTACTGCAAAGGCTATTCTCAACAGTGGAGAGAGCATCAACGCTCAATATGCCCGCTTGCCGCTGCTCCTAACGCCCAGCGAGGCTGTGCCTCATGCTGCGGCTATTCAGGTGCGGCCGGAGGACGAAGTGCACGGGCATAAGATCCGGGATGGGCAAGCCGAAATAGGACCAGAGCTGGCTGCCAACCTGGGCATGCTGGCCACAGCCCGCACCGACGAGGACCAGGATCCCCGCTGCCAGGACCAGGCCGCCACTTTTGTGTACGACGCAAGCCAATTCCGAGCTTGTTTGCGCCTGGCCTCTGGCGGCTTTGGTCTCTGCAAGGGCATGCTGTTTGTCAATGAGGCACTTCATGGCTGGGACATCAGCATGCCCAGCAGCTGCGTCAAGCTCAAGGTGCGCTCAGGAACCACAAAAGCCCCCAAACCTAAACTTGAGGGCGAGATACCCCACCTTGTTCCTTGTTTCAAGAAAGGATTGTATCCCAAACTTATCGCTTTTGTTTAAGAGCTGTTTGGGTCCCTGAAGGTGCAACACGGCAGCCCAGCTCAGCCAGGTTGGGATTTGGTGGCGCTCACTTCAGGCGGACTGCCGCGGCTCAATGCTCAGGTGAGACGGGTCCAAAGTTGGTTGGGCGAGTGTCGTTGTTGCTGCCCTCAACGGTTGTTGTAGGTTGTTCTTGTAAATGACGAAGCAGGCCGTTCTACAAAGTAACGAATGGTTTTCAGCACATTTTCCAAAGATACCGGCCACTCTTATCCACAATGTCAAGCAAGAATCATGCATTGACACCTGCTTAGGTCCTAGGTGCTGTCCATCTTCTTCATGCGGGCTTTGCTGATGCCTGCCTCTGAGAGAAGTGATTTAATGGACTGTCTCAAGAGCTGGTTGGGCAAGCTTCTGGAACTGACCGTCCGTACCAGCCGAGACATAGCCTGGAGCCTACCGCGCGGGGCGCACCCCATCCCCGCTGGGTACACTGCCACGCCCCTCTTCCCGCCACCTGCTGTGTGCGCAGGACCCCATGTAAACTGGGAGGAGTGGCGAACTCCGCAGCACATGGTTCAGGTGGAGTTCGCAGAGCAAGGTGTGGGCCCCGAGACGTCCCTGGATGTCCTCGACCAGGAGCTCGCTGAAGAGCGGGCGTGGACGCTGGCGCGGGGCACCAGGGACGCCCTGACCATTGGCGGGCAAAGGTATGCAGCTCACTACCAGGCCCTGCAAAACGAGCCCAGGCTGAACTTGCAGAACTTCGGCTGCATGGTCGTCGCTGTCAGCGACATGTGGGGTAGCCTGGGCCCCAAGCAGTGCCACATCGTTCATCGAGGCACAGTGTGGACGGGCAAGTTCGCAGTGTGGCGAAGCCCTGTCATGACCCCGGACGATGTGCAAGCCACTTTTCATGAAGTTTGGAAGCTGGTTGTAGAAGCTGTACGCACAAACCAAAACATACTTTGGTTGTCTTTTAGGATCGTCTGGCTTGCGCGCAAGAAAGGTTTGGGTTGCCAAGCCCCTCCCGGCAGGGGTGAGGTTTGTCCCCGACAACAGCATCGTCTGCAGTCGCGCTGTCTCCGACGATGGTGGGCCACCAGGATGTCTCGGCCTTTCCACCGGTGACTACGATGGCGACGAGGTCATGGCCCGGTCCTTACGGAAAGGAGTTTCCGCTTGCTTGCCTGATGTTGAATTCCTTGTAGCACAGACTACGTTCAGAGACACAGCAGTAAAGGGCATTCTGCGATTTTCGCATAGCGTCCCCCAGCGCCCAAAGCTACGTCATGATTAATGTAATTAGACATATGTGTGTATATATACACATATCTAGAAGCTGGCACGGTTCAAGATGAGGCGTCCAGCGACCCTGACTTCATCGCCATGTTGGAAGCGACGTCGCGGTACAGAGGCCTGCAGATGATTTGCGTGACCCACACACTCATGGCACGAATCTGGACACGTACCTATAGTAACAGGTATATAAACAAATCCACGCACTTTCAACAAGCAATCCCGCAGAAGACCATGTACCTTGCTCGGCAGGCCTCGCTGAAAGCCGTGCAGCAGAAGTCGAAGTCGGCCAACGCATCCAGGCATCTGTTTCGTGTAAGTTTCTGCAGTATACGAGACGGTGAGTTGCAGAGTGATGGGCGATCACTATATCCTCGGATATTTTTTCTTGAAGCGTTGACGATGCTGAAGCTAAACCAGCAAGAGGGACAGATATTCCCGACAATCGATCTCTTCCCCTCAGGCCGCGGCCGCAGCAGCAGACGAAAACCGGGCCGACGAGCCAGAAGAGTATGGGGACTACATCACTTCCGTCCCCACTCCTGAGCTCAAAGGCTTCACTTGCGCCCATTTTGAACGCGTCCTTCTCGCAGCCTGGCTCCACGAGCCGGGTGAGCGGAAGAATGCCCTTGTGCAGATCATGTGGCGCATGGCGCATGTCTGCTACGCTGCTTATGACGCACCCAAAAAGTTTTCGGCCAAGGCCGTAACGCGGGTGTGTCTAGACCTTCTTCGAGAAGCTGGGCTCCGCCCGCAAGCTCGGAAATTTTCCGACTACCTGAAGGTCAATTATTTGAGCCCTGACCTGCACTGCCCGGCACCCAACCGCAAGCGGCCGTGGCAGTGCCTGGCTCAGGAACTCCCTGCTAACCTGCAGCTCGGCAGGATCTGGATGCCGGATGCCCAGGTGCGGCTGGGCGCCGCTGCAGGTGTTTATTTGAGGCAAATTTTCCTGCGCCACGCGCGCCGCAATAATCGGGCCAATGGCCCGATCGTTATAAGGAAGACAGCCATAGAGCTGTTGAGACTGCTCCAGTACCTGTTGGATCCACGCCTTCAGGCTGGGCAGTCCTTCCAAAGCGCGGTGCGTGATGGAGACGTGGACGCACTGCTGGCGGCTGCCCGGCAAGGCAGGTTTGACCGAGGCGGCATCACAAGCCTTCGACACCTTGCCGACTCGCCCCTCTAAGTGCAGCCGCAGCCAGTCAGAGTCGCATATATGGCTGACCTCCCTTCCCTTTTACCACTCTGCTCTGCATTTTTTGTATTCGAACTGCTTCATACACCCATAAAAGTTCATTGCAGGCGTCCGCGTCGCAGCATTTTCAGTGAGACAGCCATTGCGGCAGAAAAAAAAGATTGTCGCATCTCACACTGTGTAACCACTTGCCCGGCAGAGTAACAGACTTCAACCTGTATTCTACCCTTCGCCTGAGGTTGGCGGTTGGTGCTTGAGCTGGTGGAGTGCTGCGGCATCGAGGAATGCTTCCTTTTGCCACTCGGTTCCAGACTCCCTTGCTATTCGTCCTAGCAGAATTGGCCGCAGGCCACGCGATACCAAACCAAAGGGAGCGTGCTAGCAGGAGCACGTGCCAGTCCCGGCCTGAGCAAACGTCACCGGCCTCCTCTGCATCCAGTCTGGCTTGGAAAGTGTGCGAGTTCTTCCCGAAGGCTCCGAAAACGGTCTGTGGGGGCCTGGCCCTAAGTGTTTGCAAGTGCTATGTGGTCTTGTCGCGTCAGTCGCCGCGGTCGCAACGTAAGGACTAGCTTCGCTTCGGCACATGTACTGCCGCAGGGGTTTGTCACGCCCCCCCAAACCTGGCTTGGACGTGCTTCCCAATGTGCCTTCCCATGTAAACTTGTGCGGTGCCGTCGTTCGAGACGAGGTCGCGCTTGTCTTGCAGTTCCCGTTCACGCAATAATCCCGCATTTTGCCGGGTCAGCAGGCTTCTCCGCACTCGCGGAATAGGTTGCGAAATCCCATGCACTGTGTGTGTGCGCGAAAAATGCGCGAAGCCTCCGCGAGCGCTTGCGATGTGCGTGTGTTGCGAGTGATGCGCGTCATTAGCACAAAGAAAAGAATGATATCGCGCGTTAGGCGGCCCCCAAAAGTTCGAGTCCTCGCCACGAAAACCCGAAATCTTCTCCGAACCCCGACGAAAGCCCGAATCAATCTACACGAAAGCCGGATGTCTTGCAGCGAAAACCCAACATCCTCGCACGAAGGCTCAAATCCTTCCCCGCAAAAACCCAATTAAAGGACCGGATAACCCCACATGACAGCGATACTCTGGTCAGCATCAAAGCAGTGCAAAACAGAGTGATTTAGATATGTAAATATGCGTGCGCACTCCGCGTGGGTGTCCGCGCCGGTTGTGTGTGTTGTGCGTGTGCGTGTGCGTGGGCGTGTGGGTGTGGGTGTGTTGTGAGCTGTGTGCTGTGTGGTGTGTGTTGTGTGTTGTGTGTTGTGTGTTGTGTGTTGTGTGTTGTGTGTTGTGTGTTGTGTGTTTGTGTGTTTGCGTGCTGTGTGTTGTGTGTTGTGTGTTGTGTGTTGTGTGTTGTGTGTTGTGTGTGTGTTTTGTGTGTGTGTGTTGTGTGTCGTCTGTGTGTTGTGTGTGTGTGTGTTGCGTGTCGTCTGTGTTGCGTGTGTGTGTGTGTGTGTTGGGTGTTGTGTGTTGTGTGTTGGGTGTTGTGAGTTGTGTGTTGAGTGCTGTGTGTTGTGTGTTTGTGTGTTTGTGTGTTGTGTGTTGTGTGTGTTGTGTGTGTGTGTGTTGTGTGTGTTGTGTGTCGTCTGTGTTGCGTGTGTGTGTGTTGTGTGTTGTGTGTTGTGTGTTGTGTGTTGTGTGTTGTGTGTTGTGTGTCGTGTGTCGTGTGTTGTGTGTTGTGTGTTGTGTGTTGTGTGTTGTGTGTTGTGTGTGTCTGTTGTGTGTCGTCTGTGTTGCGTGTGTGTGTGTGTGTGTCTATGTGTCTGTGTGTCTGTGTGTCTGGCATCTGTAGAAGCTGCTGTTACGGTCGCAACCGGCGGCAAAGCACATGGCGCACATGTTGTCGTCGGCTCTAGTTCTCTCTCCCGAGCTCTAGCTCTAGCTCTAATTCCAGCTCCTGCTCCAGCTCTACTTGTAGCTCTCTCCCTAGCTCTAGCTCCAGCTCCAACTCTACTCGTAGCTCTCGCCCCAGCTGGAGCTCGAGTTCCAGCTCCTGCCCCAGCCCCAGCTCTAGTTGTAGCTTTCTCCCTAGCTCCTGCTCCAGCTCTAGCTTCAGCTCCAGGCTTTAGCTCTAGTTGTAGCTCTTTCGCTAGCTCCAGTTGGGTTTGTATAATAACCCCGCGTGGTCGATTTATGTAAGCACGCGGTGTTCGCGATGATGCGTTTGATTTGTAAAACGATAAGGAGGAAAAAACGATAACGTCATATTGCACAACAAGCGAGCACAATCCAGCCAGGAGCCGAAACGAGGCATTTCCAGTACTAAAGTTGTACTACAAGCGAGCACGCCCCAGCCCCAGCCCCAGCCCGACCCACCTCCCCCCCCAGCCCCAAACCCCCGGCCAGCCAGCCCCAGTTCTTCCCAAAAACTTCATCGACAAAAAGCTAGCCTCGCTTCAAATCGCAAAATCGGTTCGCGGCTTGATTTGGTGGAATCGGAAGTTTTCATATCTTCGCTTCGAGCGAGGTTAAGTTTGCAGCCCCCAGCCCCAGCGCCCGCGCGTGTCTTAGCCCCAGCGCCAGCACCAGCACCAGCGCCAGCGCCAGCACCAGTTCCTCACAAAAGCTTCATCCACAAAAGGCCCAAGTCGTCCAATGGTTTAAGTAAATGGGCTTAAATCTCTGTTGACGTTGCTTCCTACAGTGAAAACCACAAAATGCTGCGCTGGCACAAGGGCGCAGCCCCTAAAAGTTTAGGGTTAATCCTAAATCCTAAACCCTAAAACCTAAATTTTAGACGGCTTGCGCCGAAGGTGCGCCAGCGCAGGTTGTGGTTTTAAGAGCAAAAGGAAGGCAGGATTTAAGGAAAGCAACGGTCGACCACAGGGCAGTTTAAGTAAATTGACAAGTTTGTTCTAAGTGCAACTGAACGGTTTAAGTAAATTGAAATGACCCAAGCAACACACCCGAAACCTTTTAACCCTAAACCCTAAACCCGAAAACCCTAAACCCTAAGCCTAAACCCGAAACCCCTAAACCCTAACCCTAACCCTAAACCCTAAAACCCTAAATCCTAAACCCGAAAACCCTAAACCCTAAGCCTAAACCCGAAACCCCTAAACCCTAACCCTAAACGTTTAGGGTTTAGGGTTTAGGGTTTAGGGCGTCTCGCCGCGCAGCGGCAGTATTTTCTATGTAGGATGGCGCCCCAACACTCCCAGGGGTGTGGGGGGGCGGCATATCGACATCTAGCGTTCGAATGCGATTCCACCGCCAAACAGTTATATATTGGTTCCTCACCTTTTCCCACCCGCTGTGAGAATACACAGGCTACCACCCAAAACATTGCCTTTTAGGGTTTAGCGCTTACGCCCTCAATTCCCACCTGCCCCTGGTCTGTCTGTTGGCGCCAGGAAGGACGCACCTACACACGCCACAAACCAGACAGGTGGCGAGGGCCAGGGGAGGGCAAGGGGGGCCAGGGGGGCAGGGGGGGCCAGGGAGGGGCCAGGGAGGGCCAGGGGCCGGGGAGCCGGGAAGAGGCAGGGGGCTCCAGGGCAGGAAGAGAAGGAGGCAGAAAACGCCAAGTCTCCCCCTAGGAACCCGCCAGGAGCCCCCCCGGGTCCCTGCATCTGCCAGCTGGGGGGCCCCCTGAGCCGGCCCTTGGTGCTATTTCTGAGGGGGGGC